CCATCAAGCAGGTGAGCTGGACAGTGGCAGGGTCACTCCATCAAGCAGGTGAGCTGGACAGTGGCAGGGTCTTTGACCCCTTGACCTTTCAGTCAGCCAACGTTACACACACAGGTGTGAAAAGGAGTATGAAAAGTGTTACTGAGTCACACACTCCATCAGGATTTCCATCATGCCCCTTTAATTTTACGTTCCATTGCACTGACTATATTCCACCATGACAGGACAGGCAGTCCATCAGAAGACTGATTGCTGGATGAGTGTGTCTGGTGCGTTAATGGCAACTTGGGCCGTTGCGGAGTCCAGATGACCAGTGGTACCAAGAATCATAGTGCCATCTTCATTCTTAGACTGTTCTTTCACTGCCTCTTTCCAGAGCTGGACATCCTGCATGTGATATTCTGCATTCTGATGTATCTCCTTGTTTGTCCCTCTCTCCTCTGCTTGTCCTTCTCTCTGACTCCCTGTCGCTGCCCTGTGGACAGAGTATCCTGCTGAAGCGCAGCGGCAACTCTCTCAACAAGGAGTGGAAGAGGAAATACGTGACGCTGTCCAACAACGGAGTGTTGTCCTACCACCCCAATGTCAATGTGAGTCCGCACACAGCTACACAGCAGCACAGTGTCAACACAATGTCCACACAACAACGTGACTGAAACTTATCACACGCACTGCCGGACACTGAGGCTCAGGCTAAGCAGCGGTTTAGTGCACCCTGGTGGCCCGAGTGGGTATTGATCTGTCGTCTACTTCTGTGAGGTTCATTCCTTACACATACATGATACAGAAACATCTTCATTCATTAAAGGCTTATTTGCTCATAAGGAGACTTTTCTGGACACTCCACTCAAAGTGCGCTATAGGTAATGGGGACTCCCCTCCACCACCAATGTGTAGCCCCAGCCTGGATGATGCGAAGGCAGCACACAACGCTCACCACACACCAGCTCTCAGTGGGGAGGAGAACAGGGTGGTGAAGCCAGTTCAGAGATGGGGATTATTAGGAGGCCATGACTGGTGAGGGCCAGGGGGAAATTTGGCCAGGACACTGGGGTAACATCCCTACACTTTTCGAGAAACACCTAGGGATTTTTAACAACCTCAGTTTAATGTCTCATCTGAAGAACGGTGCCTTTTTTTATGGTATAGTGTCCCTGTTATTGTACTGGGGCATTAGGACCCACACAGACCGCAGATTGAGCGCCCCCTACTGGTCCCACTAACACCTCTTCCAGCAGCAGCCTTAGTTAAGGTTAACTGAGCTTCCCTTCCTTTTATCGTGATACAACCAGACCTCTGTGCGCAAACATGTGCCGTTGAGAAGACAAGGAGCCAAACAATGGGTCTCAGAAAGGAACAAAAGGACTCAGATGCCTGTGTTTGCATGTGCGTAACCTCTGACCTCTAACCCTGGCAGGACTACATGCAGAATGTCCACGGGAAGGAGATTGACCTCCTGCGCACGACGGTCAAGGTGCCCGGGAAACGCCCCCCACGTGCCGTGACGACCTGCGGCCCCTCTGCCAGTCACAACGGCCTGGTCAGAGACACGGGTGGCACTGCTGTCGGGGACGGGGTCGGCGCGGGTGAGACATGGCACACACTGCGCGGTTCGGCACACTCTCACACCGCTGTACTGCAACTGGGCTGTGCCACCTGTGTATCTTCGTAACGCTGTGAGAAACTCAGTCCGGCTCACTGTCCTCTCCCTCTCTTGCCTCAGCTCCCTCATTCCCCAGCACTCTCCTGCCCGTAGAGGAGAAGAGCGGCAGCGTCTCGCCGCGGTCGGAGAAGGGAGTCCAACGCTGTCCATCTTCGCTGTCCAGCAAGGCACAGAGCGTGGGTACGGCATGCCACACGATGTCACCCCCATCCGTCCAAACTCACTCCCTCACTGACACTCACACCCCTCACACTCTCACTCCCTTACTCCCTCACCTCCTCACTCCCTCACTATCACCCTCACACTCTCACACCCCTCACCTCCTCACTCCCTCACTATCACCCTCACTATTGCCCTCACTTCCTCACTCTCGCTCCCTCACACCCTCACTATCATCCTAATACCCTCACTCCCTCACCTCCTCACGCCTCACACTCTCACTCCCTCACACCTCACCATCTGTCACTCTCACACTGTCACACCCTCACACCATCACTATCGCCCTCACTTCATCACTATCACTCTCACTCCCTCACACTCTCACTCCCTCACACCCTCACTATCGCCCTCACTCCCTCACACCTCACACTCTCACTCCCTCACCTCCTCACCTCGAAACTATCACCCTCACTCCCTCACTCCCATTCTCACTCCCTCACACCCTCACTATCGCCCTCACTCCCTCACTATCATTCTTACTCCCTTACTTTCTCACTATCACTTCTTCACACCTCACACTCTATCACACTCGTTCCCTCACTTCCTCACACCCTCACACCATCTGTCACACTCTCACACTGTCACACCCTCGCTCCCTCACACCATCACTATCGCCATCACTTCCTCACTATTGCCCTCACTCCCTCACACTCTTACTTCCTCACATCCTCACTCCCTCACACTCTCACTCCCTCACCTCCTCACTATCACCCTCACTCCCTCACTATCACTCCCACTCCCTCACTTCCTCACTCCTTCACTCCCACTCTCACTCCCTCACTTCCTCACTATCGCCCTCACTCCCTCACTATCACTTTCACTCCCTCACTTCCTCACTCTCACTCCCTCACTATCACTCTCACTTCCTCACTTCCTCACTCCCTCACAGCCTCACACCCTCACACCCCTCATATCCTCACTCCCTCACTGTCACATAAATGCACCCCCACAGCCTTCCATGAAAGTCAGATGAGCCTGACATCTCTTTCTCTGCCTGCCCTGTCACTTCCACACCCCTGCTCCCCTCTCCTGCACCCCTCTCTGTCTTTAGACTCTGCTGTCGAGGGCTTGGCTAGCCCCACGTCAGTGAAGGACCACGCCCCTCCCTCTCCAATGATTGACAGGAAGAAGAACCGCAGGAAGAAGAGCATGAACATGAAGGGCGACGCAGCAATGGGACAGGCCGAGGGTGAGCAGTCAGTCAGGGGAGTCAAGGGGCAGGAGCCATTCCAAAAATGACGGGAGAGATATGGGGAAGATAAAGGAATAGAGATTTGTGGAGTGGTTTTTACATGCAGGGGAGGGACTACAGGAAAGGAGCCAGTCACAAAAGAGATGGGAGCGTTACGGACAGGGGTTTCTGCCAATGAAAGAGAAGAGGGGAGGGGCAGAGAGATGGGAGGTGGAGCCTGAAGGCAAACAAAGAACCAATAACAGAAGAGCACTGGCAGAGAGAGACAATCAGAGAATGGAGGCGAAAGGCATGAAAGACAATAGAATTAAAGATGAAGTAGTGGAGGATTTAGAAGAATATAACACCAGCTAATTAGCCACAAAAGCAAAAAGGACCAGGGCCCCCCTCTGACTGTCTGCCATACTGCAGGAGTGTCAACACATACTAGGGGAGCAACACCAAGGGCTGTTCTTTCCAGACTCCTATGCGCCCCCTGCTGGGAAGGGTATGAGCAGAGACAGGGAGTAATGCTTGATATTGTCACCCACAGAGAGCACCATTCAAGAACTCTTCTCTCTGTCTCTTTCTCTCTCAGCAGGCAAGCTGAATAGCAGGGGTCTCGCTAGTCTTCCTCCCCTCTCCCTCTCTAACGTGCTCCTTCTCTTTCTGTCTTTTTCTCGTTCCTCCCCACTCCCCCACTTCCTGTCTGCTTCCCCGGAAACGCGCTAAACCTCTCCTTCTACAGCTAAACGCAAAATGTGGAAGCTAAAAAGCTTTGGTAGCTTGAGAAACATTTACAAGACAGGTAAAGCCAGCTGTGTGGGGCATGCTGCCGTCTGTCTGTCTCTCCTTGTCCCCTGTGCCCCTCTGCATGCTGACAGTGCTGTAGCCCGTGTGTGTGACTGTGCTCTTCTGCAGAAAGGAAGTTCGAGTTCTGTTTTCTGACATTGCATCATTAGACGTTCAAATCCCTTCTTGGTTTTTCAAAATGCTAGACTTGGCGTGGCAGACGCTGTCCTGTGAGCACACCTTAGTGGACCCAGTGGGACAGTTAGCACAGCTGTGGCCAAGCATTCTTCTGCCCAGCTAATATTGAAATGTTAATTGCTTAATTGCTACAACACATTTCCTTGTTCTTCTCCTCCACCTGAATGGTGCTTAAAGAGAGAGAAACCCTGCAGGGCTGTGGATCTAGAGCATGATGAACTGGCCATCCCTGTGCTGTAGGAAGGACAATATCTCCTTCACTGTCCATATCCTCTCCCATGTCTGGCTCCCTGTCTGTGCAGAGGAGGAGAATTACGACTTCATGATCGTGTCCAGCTCGGGACAGACCTGGCACTTCGAAGCTTCCACCCTGGAGGAGCGCGACGCCTGGGTTCTGGCCATTGAGAGCCAGATCCTGGCCAGCCTGCAGTCCTGCGAGAGCAGCAAGAACAAGGCAAGTCCCAGGCTTCTCACCAGGCCCTCTGGGAGGTCACGTCAAGGGGGGAGACAAGATGGAAACTGCTGAGCCGGGCATCCTTACTTAGGGATTAATGGCTATATTTTCTGTTTAGTATTATATTATAATTTGGTGAGTAAATACAACAATTTCACATGTATATCTGAATGAAGATCCAGTACCTTCCAGGTGATGGCTTCCACCCAGTCTGGAATCATGAATTTTGTCCTTTGCATCTTGCAAAGTGGAGCAACCCCACTGGGGGGGACCGAGGAAGTGCCCTGCCTACCCATTGACCCACTCATCTCAGACACACTGAAAGCTCTGCAGCAGCGTACTGGAGACTCAGTGCTAATGGCAGGAAAGACATGTCCCTCAAGGACAACATTGCTGGCCTGCCGCTGCCTGCAAATTCACCTCAAATTCAGGGCTAAAAGTACCTGTCAACTCATCCCAGCCCTGCCTTACAAAAGCTGATTTCTAAATGTAAAAGTTCCAGCTGAGGAATATGAGCAGCAAGGAAGTTTGGGGCCCCCCCGATTCTTTTCTACAGGACTGTAAACACCTCTGGCAGCCCAGTCTCTATGCTGGTTCATTTAATTGGAGGGACAGGAAGTTGATGTGATCAGAAATCCCACCGCTTACACCAATGGGGACTGTGTCTGACCTGTCGTATCTGTCTCTCTGTGCATCTGTCCACAGACTCGGAGGGACAGTCAGAGCGAGGCTGTGGCGCTCCAGGCCATTCGAAACGCCAAAGGGAACGGCTTCTGCGTGGACTGCGGGGCGCCCAGTGAGTCCTTCAGCAGCTGCCCCCACACTCTCCTCATCTGTCTGCTGGAACGGATTGTGTGTCTCTTCCTGTTCGTTCTGCTCTTATACGCTGATCCATCTCTGTCCCTACACACCAGTCCTATGTCACACTATCCGCTGTCCCCTGTATTCCTGTTGGTCTGTCCATCATAGTGCCTGAGCCGTCTGTATGTCGGCCTGAATTTCAAGCCCTCGTGCCGACTGTGCCTCTCTCCCTCTCTCTCAGACCCGACCTGGGCGAGCCTGAACCTGGGCGCTCTGATCTGTATCGAGTGTTCGGGGATACACCGAAACCTGGGCACGCACCTGTCCCGCGTGCGGTCCCTGGACCTGGACGACTGGCCGCTGGAGCTCAATCTGGTGCTCACCTCCATCGGCAACGCCATGGCCAACAGCATCTGGGAGAGCAACACGCACGGGCGGCAGAAGCCCACGCCTGATGCCACTCGGTGAGCGCAGGGCGCGAGGCGAGACGTGTGCACAGCTGCCCCGACCCACCTCAGAGCGCTGGGTCATTGCCAAAAAAACCCAACGGTTTTTAAAAGAAAGCCGTTTTGCTGACTGTTTTCCCGTGACAAGCCCTGCGCACTAGCTGCCCTGGCGTGGTCACGAGCCCTGTGTCTGTGTCTGTCCGTGTGTCCGTGGAGCAGGGAGGAGAGGGAGTCGTGGATCCGCGCCAAGTACGAGCAGCGCCTCTTTGTGGCGCCGCTGCCCCCGGCCGAGGAGGGCGTGGGGCTGGCGGCGCGGCTGATCGCGGCGGTGATGGAGCGCGACCTGCCGGGACTGCTGCTGCTCCTGGCCCACAGCACCAAGGAGGAGATCAACGCCCCCCTGGCGGCCCCACCCGCGCCCCCGCCCGCTCCCCCCCGCTCCGCCCTGCACGCCGCCTGCCAGCTCCCGGACATCGTCATGACGCAGCTGCTCGTCTGGGTGAGGGCCATTTGCTTTTCCTGGGGGGGTGATGTTAGAGAGGGGGTCCTGGAGACAGTCCTGAGATGAGCAATACCGAGAGGAGACCCGACTGAGGTCAGTTATCTTGAATTAGAAGCTTGAAGCCCTAATCTAGGCCTCTAGTGTCTATACTTCCACAGATATCAATAATTGCTTGAGGAGACATCATTCCAGGCAGAAACTTCCTCTGCTGGTCTATGACACTAAATGATTAAAGGAAACAGGCCATCCCTGCAG